GAAAACATATGAGTTTTGGTTACCGTATACCCTCAAAAAATGTGGTATTGTCAGTTTTGTTCATTTTAGCCTTGACAGTGCATATGAAAAGATAGCATTGTAGTTTTAATTTGCATTGCCTTAATGAATGTTGATAATAAAAACCTTACTTTGTACTTATTAGATACACATACAACCTTTTTCATAGTCTGTTCAAGGATTTGGAACTTTTTGTTTTCACATTTTCATGATTGAGATATAGGATTTCTTTAGTATACTAGATATGTCCTTTGTTAGATATTTTCATCGTGAATATTTTTTCTCTGTGACTTTGTAAGTTATATAAATGTCTAACCACTATGTTGTACACCTGAAATTAATATAATATTGAATGTCAACTATAATTTTAAAAATATTAAAAAATTAAAATAAAACCCATGCACAGATTTTTCCTTTTAGGCATTATAAATTTCAGTTCTTGTGTATTTGCTGAGAATATACAAAAAGTACTTTTTTTGTATATTATTTTTGTAAATACTTTTTGTGTATTTGCTGAGATTCCCAACTGTATACTCATTGATCAGATAAACATCGTGATTATTTTTCCTTTAAGTCCTTGAACTATTTAAAATTGTTAATTGAATGTTTTTATTTTCTAGTTGCATTTCAGCTTTGGTTGGTTTATATTGACTGCTGTTTTTTAATGTGTCCTATTATGCTGCACTTTGTATATCTCATTATTTTATTTTACCATGTGTCAAACATGTTATATATTATGGACATTCTGACTTTTAATACTCTTCTGAAGAATGTCAATATTTGTTCTAACGAGAATTAGATTATTGACAAATCACCTAATCTTCTGCAGGCTTAGTTTTATACTGCCTCCAGGTTAGTTTCAGGTTTGCCCTTAGGGCTTCCAGCAAATTCTTAGTTCTAAATCCGTCCTTCTAGGGTTTTAAAGGAGAGTCTGAAATGCTCATTGTCCAGACCTTCTGGGGGGATTCAAACTCCTGTCTCATCATATCCTGCTGTGAGTGGCAGTTGAAATGTTGCTCAGCTTTTTCAGTATTTTAGTCTTTGCTTTCTTCCTGGGCCTCTTGGTGTCTTCTCCCTCTTTCCACTCTAAAACAAACATCTAAGGGACATCTGCATGTGAATTTGGAGGTTTCCTCTTTGTTGTTACTTTGTTTCTAGGATTTGCTCCTCTTTGAGCTTCTGTGGCCCCACACTGTATTAAAACTCAAACCAACACTATGGCTGCCTTCTGTGCATTCTAGCCATCCTGCATTTCGGGGGTTACTGGGATGTGGGACTTTTCATACTAAACCAGGGAAGTTTCAGGCAAACAAAGAAAAAAAAAAAAAGGTCATCCTCTAAGTGTCCTCAAAGGAAAAGCTACAAAATCTTAGATCTCATCCAATTCAGTTTTCTCTTTCTATGGTCAAATTTTCAGCATTTTCTGCATGCTTTTGATAACTTTCTAGTACTTTATTTTATTTTTCATTCCTCACCCAGAGATACTTTTCTAGTTATCATCAGATAGAGTGGGAGGGAAGGAGGGAGGGAGAGGGAGAGAGAGAGAGAGAGAGAGAGAGAGAGAGAGAGAGAGAGAGAAACGTCAATGTGATAGAGCCACATCGACTGGTTGCCTCCTGCACGACCCAACCAGGGCCAGGGATGAACTGCAACCTAGGTATGTGTCCTTAACCAGAACTGAACCCACTGGTCCACAGACTGACACTCCATTGCTGAGCCAAACCGGCCAGGGCAACTTTCTAATACTTTAGTCATTTAATATTTTGCCCACCAGTTACCATCGTTATCTGCAGAATGATTAGCTTACTTGAAAACTGCCAAATCAGAACCTAAGTAATATACTTTAATTTCCCAAATGATAAAAGATCTGGTATCAGCAACCAAACTGGTCAAACTTTTGACCTCATAATTCCCTTCTAGGTATAATGATGATAATAATAATCTAATAATAATCATAATTATAAAACTTTTTTTCTAGAAAAATAACCTGCTAAACAATTCTCTAACACATTAAATAGACTAGTTGGATGAGAGGATATAAGTGGTAGTTTTCTTCTTTCTATCTTTCCATATTTTAAAAAATTTAATACAAATAAATATATGCATATATTATTTACAATTAAAATGTAAGTGTCACGTTTACCAAATAATAGTAATTTAAATGTTTTATAAACATATCTTCTTAAAAGTGGACAAGAATAAATACAGCCAAAAGGTGATTATGAACGAAATCACTAGATAGATATCTCACACCAGTATGTGAAACAGAGTTTAATTTCTTTTATTATTCATTAAGGATTGAATTATTTTTCATACAAACAACTGTAAACTGACTTTTGCCCCACCCTGGATATGTTGAAATCTTAGAAAATATATTAAAATACTTGTTTTGTTTTGTTTTGTTTTCAGAGAGCAGCACCAGATGGGAAAGACCCACAAGAGGCAAATGGGAGCTTACTGACCCGGAATAGCACAGTTAACCTTGTACCCAGATACTATAAATAGTAACACTTTCCCTGTGGATTTTCTAATATGCTGGGAGGTATTCCATTATTAAAATGGATTATAACTCATACACTCATTAGGGTACTGATAAAGGACCAGTATATGAATCACTACTTTGGGAATGTCATAGTATTTACTCTCACAACTTTAATATGTTTGTCAGTAAACTCAAGGAAAAGAAAGTTACCTTGGAAAATTGAAAATGGATGATAGAATATATACTTGTCACATAGGTTTTTTGCACAGTATGAAACAATATTTGCAACCTAATGGCCTGCACATCTGCTTAGTTTGGCCTCCATTGCATTTTAAAAACTAGGACATTGCTCATAATCTTATTTCCATTTCTTCTGGAAACTCTGATTGGAACAGAGCAGTGGCGACTTCATTCAGATGGAGTATGGTCACTCTGGCATATGTGGTTTCCATCACTTTACTGATTCACAACCAGCTTCTTTCTTTCTTCTTTTTTTTTTTTTTTTTTAACTATTTTTCCTTTATTGATTTTAGTGAGAGAAGAAGAGAGAGGGAGAGCGAGATAGAAACATCGATGAGAGAGAACATCAATTGGCCGCCTCCTGCATGCCCCCCACTAGGGATTGGGTCCACAACCTGGGCATGTGCCCAGACTAGGAATCAAACCAGCACCCTCTTGGTGCAGGGGTCGATGCTTAACCACTGAGCCACACCAGCCAAGCCAGCTTATTTCTTTAATTTATGTCACTTTCTTGTTCTTTGTAGGCATCTGAGTATGTAAATCTTAGCCTACAGAAATATGATCAAGTATCTTCACTAAAAACAAATATAGAGCTATAAACCACCTAGTGTTTTAATGTGTGTGTGTGTGTCTAAAGTTTCCCACAGTGCAGCAAAGAACACAAAAATTACAAAGAAATGAGTTTATATGTGCTTTGCCTCCAATTCAATCATTATAGAAAAAAGTAAATTGACTATGGCAGCAAATGTTGCTGTTGCTTTCATTGGATTATTACATAATCTCACAAATAAGTGTCTAAGGCAGAGTTCTAAAGGCATGCAGGTGTCCAGGTGTATCTGTTAGGACTTCTTTGCTTCCTCGTGAGAATGTTTCCTCAGCCTCTGTCAGGAGTAGAAGCCACCAGTAATCATCTCTGCTTGGCTTAGGTTGGGTTGGAGAGGAGTGTGGATCTATTCATCTCAGGTTCTATTCCTATGCCTCCTGGGCTCCCTATTCATGTTACCCTCCTTGGAAGACTTAGTTCCTGTAGAAAAAGCACTGGTTTTGATATCAACCCCTGCTATGTTCCAGGAAGGGGTCCAGTTGGTTGTCTTCACCTGCATCTCCCTCTGAACATCTCTTCTCTGGTCCGGACTCCACAGGAACCTTGAAACCCTCCTTCACTTTCTTCTCCATGACCAGTGAATGGAATTCCCTCTGTGGTGGATGAACTAGGTTGTCATAGAGGGATGTCTCCCATGTAGCAGTATCCATGGTAACATTCTAGGTAAGAAGGAAACATGCTAACACCACTCATTCACCACCGAAATGTTCAGGATTGTCACAAAGCAGAATAAAAAAAAAATTTAAAGTCTACCCTGACCAGCAAATAGAAATCCTTTATATTGTTACTTGTTCCCTTGACCCTCTCCCTTTGTCCAACTTCCCTTCAAAAAGCCCCCTTCTGTTTTGTGGTTTATATTTTTTTCCCAGGCTGCTATCTCCATGCGATTCTATTCTTCAACCTTCAAGTCATTTGTGCCTTTACATTTTCACTGGGTTTGGAGTGAAGAGGCAGGGACGCATCCTGGGAGCACAGAATGTCTTCATGTCTTTAAAACCTATCAGTGTTTTCTCTCTTCAAAATCCATCAAATCTGTTTTCAAACAGGATGGTTTCACAGAGAAACAGCCATTCCTCTCCCGCACTCTGAAGCCCCTCCCCCCACAATGTGATCGTGATTTCTAAGACTGCACGTTTTTAAATAAGGGTTCTTGGCAGATCTGTGGAGACAAACCTTCTGTCATTGGTTCAGAGTTTATGGGCTTGCTAAAGCATCTCCTGGCTTCCATCCCCCATGAAAGCCAGTCCTTGCATTCTTGTGCGTGCAGTGAAGGGTTAAAAAGCACTGGAGAGACACCACGCATGTGTTAATTCCTGCAGCAGCAGCAGTGTGCATCACTTCCACTTTGACCTCATGGTTAATCTGCGTGATAGTTGATCACGCAGAGATGCTCGTGATTTTTGTTTCTTTTACACACACACTCACACACCGCCCTGCCCCCTCTAAAAGAAAAATAAAAACAAAGCAGACACACAAACCTACAATGATGGACCCGGGGGAGTCTATGTGAGTGCGAGGGGCATGAGTATGTGTACCAGCGTGCGCGCCTTTCTCCCCCCTTCCCTTATTTTCCTCTGTGCGTCTCTCCCTGTACCCTCCTCCTGCCTCAGTTATATTATTCCCCCGGACTTGGAAGCCGCTCCCTGCGCTGACGCTTTGATGGTATCTGCAAGCCTGTGTGCTGATCTTATTTCAGCCCCTGAATATTAATTCCCGAAGCTGGTAGCAATGTATCTCCCCAGTGACGGGACCTACTAGAGGCAGGTGGGGGGAGCCACCATCAGATCATAAGCATAATAATAATACAAAGGGGAGGGATTCTTCTGCCACAGGCAGGCAAGAAGCAGAGGAGGGGAAAAAAAAAAAGCGATGAGTTCGCCAAATATATGGAGCACAGGAAGCTCAGTCTACTGGACTCCAGTGTTTTCACAGAAAATGACGGTGTGGATCCTGCTCCTGCTATCGCTCTACCCAGGGTAAGATGTGCCGTTTTCGGCTTCTATTTGCTCCGGAGAGGTGGGGGAAGGGGTGGGGATGTGGCACTACAGAGACCACCCGGATTTAAAACACTCTTCTAGGATTTGGGGCTTTGCAATTTAGGGGGATGTGAATGAGTGGGGAGGGGTAAGGAGGGAGGAAAGAGGAAGGTCACTTTCGTTTATTTCTTAATTTATTTCATTGATTTGTTTTGAGAGTGGGAAAGCTAATGTCATAAAGACTTGGCGTTTGAGGAGTAGCATTTTGATATGACTGCAAAATGATTTCTAAGTGGGCTGTGCTGATACAGGCTGCATTTGAGGCCATGTTAGAGGCGTTTGGGGTGGGGGGTCCAGGGGAGAAAACTGCAAATGAGGTCCTGGCGCACACCCAGGAGATATGTGTTTGGGGGAAGGGTTTTGTTCTCGTACATCAAAGTGTGGCTTGCTCCTGCACTTTGGCATTCCTAAGATCAGTTTTCTCTCCAGCCCCATTGACCTGGCAGCAGGCTCCCTGACGCGCAAACATGGTTCAGCACCAGGGACAGCAGTCCCGCTTAGGGCCAAATGGAAAGAGGCTTGTCTAACCTGATGAGACATTCCTAAACTGACACAGTACATCCATACAGTGCAAAAAAGAAGGCCAACAAAGCCAAGGAGCACTAATGACACCCAAAGACTTTACTCTGATTATCCCTCCCTCCTCCTTGAGATGCTAGGGGGACCTCAGGGCATGGGCTAGAGAACCTAGTTGATGAATGCATGGAGGGGTATATGTCTGAAAAGAGTTGGTTGGCCTTGCTGCAGCACTGAAAAATATGCTGAACTAGAGGAATGTGATGCCCAAATTGTGAAGTATGTATGAATACCCTAGAACCTTGATTCAATGAACAGAAAAGATGGGAAGGGTGGTATGTATTCCCCCAAACCTCAAGCAGGTGTGTGATCTGAAATGCTTTCACCTAAATTTTGTTGAATTTCCTTGCACCAAAAGTATCAGAGGAATGCTCCTACAACTCTAGTTTACCATTTATCTATCCACCTAAATATCCAGCACCCCCAAAACACCTCAAGATTTTCAGTAAGAGATCCATTATTTACATTACTTGAACTCTCTTAGACTATGAGTCTAAAATAAAGCTCTATATTTAGGGTAATTCTGCCACTGCCCCAAGAAAAAAAAGTAGCTATAGAACATATCAAGCCATTGCTCTAAGGTTTTTGTGGGAGTTAACACTCTTATGTAGTAGTTGTAACAAAGGGAAATGAAAGGGATGAGTGTTAAACTATTTTATTTTATTTTATTTTATTAAAAATAACTAGTTAACTTCTCTGATGCTTCATTCTTTAGGGGAGGTAATGGGAGATGCAAATATCTGATAAAGAAGAGACCCAGGCAACACGAGAAGTTAAAGCCTCTGTTGAAGTTTGTAAGCAGAGAGGGGGTCTGCTTAATTCTTCCATCATTTTTCATACTTTCCTCTTTCACTATAAAAATAGAGGGCAATTTCATTAAGAATATAAATTAAATAACTTTCTTAGAAAAGAAGAGGTCCTTTATCTGGTATTGGTGTAAGGGTAAATACATTTTAGTGGAATCCTGGAAAAACATTTTTCTATTTAAAATTTGCAGATATGTTTTTCTGTCTAATGTGTGTAGTTCTTAATTTGTTTCTGATATTAGAGAGTTGATAGTTGCTTATGGACAGAAAACATCACTCACATGTTCTTACCCTTTATGAAACCTGTGGATTAAAATCTAGACAAGACATAGGAAAATATGTCTTTCCTTTCTACTCACCTTACATCCATCTTAATAAACTATTTGGCAACTAAATAGATGAAGATATCCTCATGTATTTTATTCTAATGGTCTTACTGTAACCAAAGCATGTGTAATTTTATTGTTATTTATAATAGTATCATATCTAAGATGTCTTACTTTTTGCAACAATCCCACTTTTTCTTTTCCAATATTATATCAAAAGTGAAACAGTAATATATTTTAATTTTTGATTCTTGAGCATGCTAAATAGCTCTGAATAATGGGAGTCATGTGCCATGTGAACTCTCCCATAGGAGGGTTTTTACATTTTCTCAGTGATGACAGAAACAAATCATTGCAGTTCAGTGCAGAGAATATGATCAGAGTTTCAGTTTGCTGCAAACCCATAAAAAAATCCACTTGCATGGCTGAATCAGGCTAGAAGGAAATAGAAGCTTTGATCTGAAGCTGATCCTATAGATTATTGGAAAAATATAGGATCCTCAGAGGCAGTCTGAAAGAAGCTTCTTGGGTTATTTACCCAAGAAGTGGCTGTTGAACCACCTAGAAAGTTGAAGGGAAATTTTAAAAACATTTCATTGACTTTTTCACTTTCATAACTCCAAAGAATAATATTTTCTCCTCATTAAATTGACTAAATTCATTAGGTTGTGTTCATACAAAAGTAAAGTAAAACAAGGAGGAATAGAAAGCTTTGGAATGAAGATATTAATAGATACTATCTCTTCTTACGTGTAAAATAGTTCATTTCTAAAGCTCAAAATGATCTAAACTGTCACTTATCTTGTATACAGCGCTGTCATAAGCATCACCTGGAGAACTTGCTAAAATGAAGATTCCTGGACCATACACTGAAAAATTCTGAATTATTGTGTTTGGGGTGGAGCCCAGGAATATTCATTTTCAACAAGTAGTCTAGACCACACATTGAAGAAGAGTGGTATATGCCTTGCTAATTTCCAAAGTTTATTTGTCATCATTTTCAATATTTACACATGCTTTGATTATTGCTATTTCATTAATCCGCTGAGTACAATGAGTCAGTTTCACCTCAGGATTTCTTGTTTGTATATAAATCACTGGGTGTATTATGTAAACTATAAGGAGTCAGAAATAGCTATAAAGAATTTTAATAAACCCACCTCATGTATGAGGAAACATTGGTTGAAAAATAGAGACCTCTCTCATTGAAGGTATGTATGCATGTGTATATAAGTGTATTTTCAAGCTATATACACTCTATGTATAAATATTCACTCATATAGGTTTTAAAACAAATTTACTAATTTTATAAACTCTCTTGATATAACTACACTTTATCTCAGAGTAAAAATGCCTTAAGAAGAAGAAAGAAATAGAAATACAACAGAAAATTATTTAGAGTAAATAGGAGTAAGTGCTAGAAGTAAAGATGTTTTACTTTTTTCTTAGAATTAAATTAGATTTTATAGTATACTTTGAGTAATAAAGAATTAATTTTCAAGCAGAGGTGGATTTGATTAAATTTGTGAGAATCTAACCCTTACTTTGAAGTGTTAGCACTTAATTAAAAAAAAATACCTTAAGTTACAAATTTGTAAATATTTTCTGTTCTTAGCTATTGCCTGAACAGAAATATTTCAGGTGACTTTTATTATGAGCTGCTAAAGTTTTTTTATCCCATAACTAATTTTTTAGTTTTTAACTTCCACAGGTTATGACCGTGCATGTAGGGGAATATTGTGTCTCTTCACCAAAACCCCATTTTCTTCCAGAATTTATCTCCCCAGACAAGATTATTATTTACTATCTTTCCTAATGCTTCACCTGGTTTTATTTGAAAAAAAAAAATTGTTTCCTTAGCATGTTTAATTGCTTAGTTGTAGAAATAACATTGCAAATAGTCCACAATGAGGCAAACATCTACCTGAAAAAGGAAAAAAATAACCTATCACCAAGTATTTCCCCAAATCCAGCTGCCCACCACTATCTAGACAAACCATCTGGATTGTAAACAGGAATGTAAAAATTGGCTTTTAATATAAATAATCACATAAATGTCAGTTTGATATCTTAGACTCAGTTTAGAAGAGCTAAGAACTTATCTCCTCCAAATAATTGATTTACAGAATGTTTAATGATTGAAGCCTCGGTTCTACGTATTTTAAAATGTATTTCAGGCAAGGATTTCTGCTCAAACTGAAATGAAGTTAAGACTAACTTTATGACTTTGTTGTAAGTATTAGATTACTAAAGTTGTGGCTATTTCTCACCGTTACAATTTCCTAGCTGTTCCAAGACAGACTATGCATAGATTACAAAAATAAGCTTCACTGGAGTGACACACACTTCTTGTTGAAAGGGAGAAGAATTTGCTACCCCAAAATATGTCTCTTTGCATAAAAATATTTTAGGCCGATTATTTTTAAGAAACAGCAGAAGCAGGAGAATCTCTGAAAGCCCACAGAAGTTACCCTTTGGAGAGACATTTACATTTATAAGGGAACTCTCCATTTGTTAAGGGTGTCTCCCTCCAAGCATCTGGAAGAGAAGGATGATTAAATCTGTAGAAAGTTTATCAATGCAGAAGGCAGGGATTTAAATCTTCATAATAACAACACCTTTCATTTACTGTGCTTTGCTTGATAACCTCCCATATCTGCCATCCCCCACAACATCACCTTTTGTCATTAGCTAGAGATGGTATTTAAGGTGGTGGACTGGGCATTCCAGGGAGTTACTCAGCCTTCCTGGGTATCTCCCGTCCATACAGTAGGTTTTACATATTATTAAACCTCTGTTTGTTTTTCCCCTGCTAACCTGCCTTTTTATTATAGCCAAGAACCTGAGAGTTATCAGAGAAAATTCTTTTTTCTCCCTTACATGGTTCTCCAAAATACTTCTGCTAAATTCACAGATCACAGAAGATTGGTTAAAAGTTATAATTAGCACAGTTCAGGAATTGTTTGTCCACCACAGGTGTCAGCACAATTTAAATGCTTAAAATTCAGGATTTTAGTTGGGATGGGCTTTCCAGATAGGATAACCTATCAGATAGATGTAAAGAGAAGAACCCAGCCCTCCACTACTGGGTTATAAGAGATCTATGTGACAGCTTCAAAGCTAGTGTGGGTGATGGAGATATTCCCCAGCTGGTCTAATAATCAAATTCACATGAGACAGATTAAGAAAAGAAGATAACCAAGTTTAATTATATATGTACACACGGCAACCC